ATTAGCACTTTGTAGGCTAGCATTAGCACTTTGTAGGCTAGTATTAGCACTTTGTAGGCTAGCATTAGCACTTTGTAGGCTAGTATTAGCACTTTGTAGGCTAGCATTAGCACCTTGTAGGCTAGCATTAGGGACCTGGGTTTGATACGGGCAGCCAGAGGTAACCAGTGGAGTGCAATGAACAGATGGGAGACGTGAGAGTGGCTGGACTTTGGACCGTTTCCGGCCTTAGAGAGCGAACGGGAGTCTGTGGTGGAGCGATGGAGGTCGGGGGTTTCGGGAGGAACCGATCGGCCACTTTGAGGCATGAGAACAATCCATCAGCTAAACCACAAAAACAACCAAAAAACAGACGATTTGCAGCGTCTTTTCTAAGCTGGAACCGCCAGAAAAGGTGCAGGACGACAAGCTGGCTCTTTTGCTGTGTGCAGAGGGGTGGACTTCCTCTGTTGGCATGGCAACCACGGGGCCAGGAAGTTTGAGTATGGAAAACCTTCCGATCCGGGAGGCCGGCTCCAAACCAGACGGCAGCAAAAGGCTGCGGGACTGTGCACGTTTCATGCATCAGAACTAAATCGCACAGTTTAAATTAGGACAAATGGAAGCTTTAAGAGCTTTGAATAGTCTTGTACACAGAATGAGCTTAAATGAGCCTTTTAGGTACATTCCTAAATCATGCTAGCTCTTGTTGGAGCTCGTCAGAGTGAGATAAACTGAAGCTTTCAGATGTCTGAATTTCTCACCTAGCACAGGGCCACAAAGAGAAGTACAACCACACACACACACTTTCACTCCTAAGGTCAAGTTAGCATTCAGTTAGCCTAGCGTTCACGTTTCTGTAGGCTGGGAGGAACCCAAACACACACAGGAGGGGCATGCAAACAGAAAAGGATCATTTTGGGGTGATGATCATGGACAGTTATTGTGCATGAAAATGTTAGTTCTACTGTTATTTAAGATAAAAACACATTTTCTATCATATGCTACAAATGTTTAGTGTAAAATGATAAAATTCCTCTCACTGGGGTGGATGTAACCAGAAGGAATGCACAAACTTACTTATACCTTTATGTCTTTTATTAGAGTACAACAGTAGTTAACTTCCAGCCGAGAGGAAGAACAAACTAAACGTGTGGGGGTACAGATATGAATCACAAAACGATATTACAATAATAACTTTTTTTTACATCCACAAGACTGAGACGGTTTCAGTGGAAACCTGTCCTCCAAAAGACTTAAAACCAGGAGTAAATCCTCAGATTTCCCTCACTGGGTCTTGAGTTTGGCTTTTCTGAGGCTCTCTCTGGCTGAACGTCGTGGATTCTGCAGAATCTAAACAGATTATGGACTCACGTCCAAAACAAAATCCATTTAAAGCGTCTTCATCTGGAAAAACAGCCTCCGGTGAGGACACGATCAGGTGCAGCCCCTCCTCTCCGGAGCGGCTTTCTTGTATCCCTCCGCGGCCGCCGCCTCCTCCACGGCTCTCTTGATTGGCCGCCTGCTCCTGGTGGCTGCGGCGGGGGCGTCTGATTGGCCGAACACCTCCCTGTGGATCTGGGCGGAGGCCGGGCTGGGCTCGGAGCTGAGGACCTGGCAGAGGCCCTCGGCCTGCTGCTGCAGGCTGCTGATGGACTGCCGGGGAGAAGGAGACATTTTTTATATTAACTCACTGGCTGCCAAAGACGTCTATAGAGGTCTTTTATGTTTTTCAACGAGAGTGTCTGGGGGACGATCTGCTAAAGCTTGTCCGTAAATAT